TGTTACAGTACATCGAGTAACAGCAAAACAGAAGGGGCTCAAAGTTTGCCGCCTTTCTGTCATATTAGACCATCGCTTTAATTCATCCAGGAAGATCCTCATGACCCAGATTAGCGGTTCTCTGTTGGGATCCTATACTTCCAAATAACTTTATAGGACCTGAATCAAGCTTAGAATTTAAAGGTCACCTATTGCAAAATCCACTTTTATGCATAAATATGTGTCGCCAGTGTGTTAAGAGACTCGAAAAGTTTCAGGAAAAAGATTTTCTCTCTTTTTGTTCTGATATATAAAAACCTGTCTGAAAATTAGCTGATCAGATTTGGCAACATAGTGATGGCACAACAGTCTTTGTTGGGAAACCATTAGCCACTTACCAACTAAGGTAACACCCGTCCACCTCATCACCTGAATGTCCTCCTAGAGCACATTGTGTTCTTTTAAACCAACACATCCACAGAATCACTTTTGAAACAGGGCTGAAACAGAGGGGTTTATGGCATGCTACAATGCATGATCTGTTTGGTATTTCGAGCCAAACAGTTCAGAGACATGTTTTGTATATATCTGAGACCTATAATATATTGTTGTAAAAGAGTTCGATAGGGGGCCTTTAATATAATCTCTACAGGCCAAGGGAAGATTTACCCCAAAATAAAAAAACAACATTTATCTCTTACCTGTAGTGATTTCTTATCAATCTAGATTGGTTTGGTGTGAGTTGCAGTGATTTTGCTATGAATTATCATTTGCAGTTACACCCCTGAGCTAATGTCGTGTCGTCCTGACCTCACATACTTTCCTCAGGAATCTAAACAGAGGCTGGTTAGGCGCAGCTTCCCCTTTAGTGAACGGTCCAACTCTCTCTGCACAGGCCGACCTGCTGCTGCTGGAATGTGTTGCTCCTGCCAAGTGTAAAGAAATTATAGTTTACCGAACACTGATGCCAAAGAGATCATTTATTTTCAGTGGGTATTTTTGCATGCATGCAAAAGTATGGAATAAAACAAACAGTATAGAAGGGAAGCAGGCTGTTAATGGCAATGTAATGTTGCCAATGTAACCAAATAAAAAACCCATCTCATATTCATCTAAGCAATTCCTGCGTAGCCCCAAAAGTAGTACAGTTTAGAGATGGCACTCACACACAGTGTTACTCCAGCTTTGTTTGAGTGTGTCCTCACTAACTCTGCCTTGGCATGTTTACTATGCCTACAATTGGTGCTTGAGATAAAGATATAAAAGCTATGACCACTGACTCTGCCTCTGGGAGAATTAGGTCAACTCGAAGTTTGTTGATCTTATTTTCTTATGTAACACAGAATCAGTCATGCGGGTCATTCAAACAACACCATCTCTTTTGTACTGCAGAGCTAAATGCTGACTTTTTCCCTGTTTCCAAATGATTTGCTGGATATTGGATCAACCATGCATATCTGATTGTCACTGTGTTGAAGATAATTTGTACTTAATCAGTTAGACATTGTGAACACATGAATGAACGACCTTTAATGAATTACTAGTCTTGTGCCTTTGGCTTTTTTAGAACAGGTTGTAGGATACGATCTTCAATAATTTCACAGTCTTGTTTGTTACACTTCTTCGAAAATGTGTCAGCTGACAGTCCCTGTGGTTGTAAGACTTTCAATTGCTTTCTTTTAAACAGCACAATAGTTACTTTTTTTAAATCATAGTTTACTTATTCTTTCAAGAATACCTGCATCAAAAGGGTTTAGAAATTCTGTCAACGGTGTAGACCAAGAGTGTACTCATATTTTGTAGACGTCCGGTTAGTTTAATCTTTGCCCTCAGGCGCTCCCAGACAAAACAATGATTTAACGGTGATATATCATTTACATTTACCCAGCCATCTTAGTCACTTAGTAACAACCATATCAACATCAAGAGAAACCAGGACAGTCTTATCAAAGCTGTTAAAATACCTTAAAAAACAAGATAATGAATATTGAATATACTGTAGACAGGCGGAGAAAAACCTCACATCAGAGGAGGAGCTGACACACTGCTGGTGGTAAACTGACTTTACAGCCAAATAAAATTCACATTGTTTATCTGTCTGTTGACCTGTTTACTACAGGTGCAATAATTACATGTGGTATCAATTCATAAAACACCTGGGTGCTGGCTGTTGTGGAAAATGATTTTGGTTGCTGAAAGTTAGATGAGAAGATGGATACCGCACATTTAGGTCATGTTTGTAGGATTAAGCATCTTTAGTGTTGAGGTTGTAGATTGCAACCTACTGACTAATCCTCCCATTTGGTCATTACAACAATGGTCCTTAAAGCCCAGCACTCTTCCTGGGGACTGTTAAATCATGGATGTGCAAAAGTCCAACACCATGGATGCTGATCTGATCCCATATTTCAATTTCTGCTTATAGATCCACCTAAATCCTTCAAACACTCGGTTCATTACATGTGAGGCTGGAGAATGTCTTCATGTTAAACAAATAAGACTAAACATTTAAAGTGCGTATTTATGGTGCTGTATTATTAAGAGTGGAAGCTAACAAGAACTTCAACAGGGGGTCACTGTCAGAGCCACAACTTAAATGTTGTCATTGTTTTCACTAAAACACAATACAGGCTGGAACCTTTCTGCATTAGTCACCCATTTACATCAGCCAACAGACCATTTACTACGTGACCTACAGACACACTTCAAGTCATGTGCGTCTGAATCACAGTCTCTTGTTACAAGCCTGTTGCATCACTTGGGTTGTCATGACTTGTTGAAACTGCCTTACAGGAGGGCCACACAAAGACTCTGGGATGGGTGTGGGCTTTGAAAAGAAGTTGAGGAACAAGTAGTTGTTAGGACACAGCCCAACATGTTGTTTAATTTAAGGAAACATTTTTGGGCTTTAGTTGAGCTTTTACTGGCTATGTGTTTACTGTATTCGAGGACAAGGCAGAAAGAAAAGAAGGAAAAGGATCCAACAGTATCCAATTTGCTCTTTTGTTTCCTTGAATAAAAAAGTTATACAATAGATGCTTACGTTTTTCTGTTACGACAGGCCTTGCATGCTGTGTCCTCACAGGACACCATCTAATGATTTATTTCACTTTACATAACACCTAGCTCCCAGAACTCACTGTCCATGATACCTAGAACTAATTTGTATAGCATTTTTTTAAACAAATTGCTTAATGGGATGAAAATAAGAGGACACAATTACACTAAATCAATATGAAGTGTATTGCACTTTTAAAAATAGATGATGTCAATAATGTGTTTTACAGGATGAAAATAAGACTAAACCAATAAGAAGTTACAATTGATATAACAATAAGGGCATGCAATCACAAAAAAACAAATAAAGTAGTATTAAAATGGAATATAAAGAGGGAATAAATTAGAATACAATGAAAACATAGTTTCAAGCCAGACTAAACAAAAGTACAGGAGCTGTAGAGTATCAATTGCATAAAGATGTGATTACAGTCACAGTCCATGCTGAGCTATGATCTTATTTACTGTAATACGCAGCCAGTGGCTCCTAAAAACCCTGCAATCTGCCAGGTGAAAGTCCACTGGTTTATCAAGTATTGGGACACTGCAACCCACATGTGCTGAGCTAATTCTATCACAGTTGGATGGCCTGCAAATGCTATCTTTGTTTCACAATGATTGCTGTACAGGAGCCGCAGGGTCGGACGCACAAACCCATTCACACAGAGGTCACAATTAAGTGTTTTTATAAATGGCCAGATATGTAGACTATTTGATCTGACATTTTCCATCAATAGATTACAATGGTCTGCATTTTACTTAGTGAATGACTGGGACATTTGCATGGTGGTTATATTTTCCTCCTCAAATGTGCCTATTGTCCGATGTGTTCCTATCCTGGGCCTCACATTACAAGCCTACAGAGCCGCTATTGTATCTTGACAAGGACCTTTCACACACTCATTTCCAATACTAGCACTTATTGACAGATCCACAGTGTAACAGTCAGCCTCTTGCAGGTGTGGACATTTCCACTGCACTGTAGCACATGTTAAGTAAGTGAAACAAATGGATCTGGAGTCACAAACATCATGCTTAGATATGCTGAGGCTTGCTAAATACACACGTACACCTCACCACTCAGATTACATGCACTGTTAAATGGTGTCAGACCACAAAGTGGCCACTCAACACAGGTATTATTTCAGATTAGATATCTATTTGAAGTCACTTACTGAGGGAACTGTTTCAGATAACATCTATGCTTTCCCTCACAGTAACATCTGTATAGCAGCTGCCTATGGTGTGGTATTAATTATGACTTCTGTAGGATGAGCTAACTCTTATAGACCAAAGCAGTGTGCTGTGAAGGGAATGTGGTTTGATCCAGGGAGAGGGAAGGGCTTCCCTTTGTACAGACTTATCTCCACTTGGCCTTTTATCAAGGTTGCAGGTCTGGCTGCATTCCTAACCCCTCAGACTCATACAGCAAACAATGGCTCAACCCAGGGCCGAATTCACCATATACATCCTGTCCACACCTTTTCAGCTCATTGTGGAAAGAAGGAGACCAGAATAATACCTAACCCAGAAAGTAAACTATCAAATGTGTCCCATTAGAAAGGTGAAGTGATGAGTAAGTGTCAAAGCAAACATCAGCGTGAGAATATTGACATTTTACACATCTCACGTTACATTTTGTCAGCAATTATTTTTAAAAACAGTGACCAAACTCCATTGGAAACATTGCAAAAAATGGAAAAGCAAAAGGGGGTGCTTAAAGGAACATAACGGGGATCAAAACAGTCTTATACGTTGCTGCAGTTTGGTAACATTGTGAGAGTTTAAATCATATCGACTGTTTTCGAGTATTTTACCCATGAGTCAGTGTCATCAGCTTCCTCATCGTGCAACCGCTGGAAAGAGCCACGCTGCAATACCAGTCCCTCTGCTGCTGCCCAATGGAGAGAGCAGAGGGGAAAGTGGGCTGGGCTGCACCCCCCCAAGGCTTTATAAAATTCCCTCATACATCCGCCTTGGTCTGCACGTTATAAACAAAGCAACGCTTCTGTCGCTGCAACACTTTGCGCAGTTTAAAAATACAACAGAAAGTTGTTCGTGGACTTTTTACATCACAGGAGTGATCATCCCCGGACAATCAGAAGTTTAATCCGCAGGTAGGTTTCGGCACAAAACCATATTTATCTGTTTTTTTCAATAGTTTATAAAGAACTGGGAGCTTACTTCCCGTTGTTTGTGAGTTTCGCAGCATGTCTGAGCACGTTACAATTCCTGTTTGGCAGTGCATGCAACTCTGAAATATCTTTTCAAATGTGACATTTTTATTTGAGCTGAAGTAATATAACTTGTTTACGCACATATCAAAACGATTTCCACCTAAATCAGGATTTTTTTTCTGCATCTTAATGAAATGCAAAACAAGATTTCACGTGAGATACAGTAGCCTATAGTTTTTTGGCAGTCTTTTTTTTTTTAAGTGTTATATATTTCTTACAATTTTTACAGATTGAATGTAAAGTAGAAAACAGCTGTTTGTATCATGTGGGCGGTTACAGGAACTTGATCATATCAACATGCTTTTCACGTTGCTTTTCATGTTTAAAGATCCCAAACACACAAGTCAAGCAGTAAACTCTTATGGCATATATTATTAAATACACTATTGCGTAACAAATCCACTGCTTTCTAGCCTTGATAGAAGGAAATAAACAAAGACATGCATGGGTGTTGGCAGGAGGAGTGTATAGTGCTGGCAGCTGGCTGAGTAAAAAAAAGGAAAAACATGGTAGTTTAAGGCAAATAGTTTCAATCTGCCAAAAATATAAAGCTCATCCTCCATTGTTACCAAAACAGCACTGCATCCTGAGTCCTGACCTGTTAAGGCTGTGTTTATTTGTCCAGCTTATGTCTTCAATCTTTTCCAAAAGCGCATGAACCTGATGGGCTGTAGTGCTACATGAGAATTCATTTCACATAAACAGCAGCAGCTGCTTGTTACAGTGAGGGTGTGATCCCTCCCCCCATCATGACCCCCACCCATCAATTTACAGTACCAATGGAGACATCCACATTTTTATATCTTTTACAATCTGAAAATGTAGGTCTGTGACAGCTTAGTCCGACAGGCCTGCTGCCGCCCTGCTGATATTTCAGAACCAGGGATTTTACAGATTAAGTGAGTTCCCAAAGATTAGGGAAGCAATCATTGTTTCTGCAGATGGAAGCCACGGGCTTGTGGATTTAAAACTATATGAAGGCCATGAAGAAAGGATGGCCTGGCCTTGATTCTGGCTCCGTAATATTGAGACTCTCTGTCCAAATCTAATCAGTACATATGTTTCTCTCCCCCAGAGAGCGGAGGACAAGTTTGAGCTCATGCTGTTTTGTAACTTGGATGTTTCTGGCTTAAAGGGGACCTGTCATGCAAAATGCACTTTTGTACGTCTTTTATACATGAATATGTGTCCCCGGTGTTCCAGGGAACTCACCAAGTGTCAGAAAACACAACCCTCTCTCTTTTCCTCCATACCCAAATCTCTAAAAACGGGGCTGCAACCGATCTGATACAGACTGATCCAGATTTGAACATTTCTCTGACGTCAGGACGGAGGAGCTGACCTATCAGGGGAATGAGAGGTTGCCGTGGCATGGTAACAGCATGGTAACACGACGCTCATAACTCGGCCCCTCCTTTGCAGGGGGGCGTGGTCAGCTGCAGCGCATGCAAAGACAGGGTGGAGGAGAGCAAAATAGAGCGAAATGAGGCATGGCTAAAATGCATGATCTGTTTGGTATTTTGAAAAAGAAAACGTATAAATATACCTTATTTTGGTATGGCCCTACAATATATTATTCAAATATAGCATGATAGGTCAACTTTAAAGTACTGTGTCATATCTCTGGATTTTCCATGGCAAAACAGGCTCTAGTTTGTTATAGGGTCCGCATCAGTGTTGTTGTTTTTCTCTAAGGCTCTGGCCTGTCAAAAGTAAACATTAGATTTTTTTAAAAGGTCTGCTTTTCAGAAATTAACAAATATTACCTAATCATGAGAGTTATGTTTATTGTCAAAGCTTGAAAGCCGTATTGATTATCAATGCCTGAGAGCAGCTAATCATGTGAGAGAGTTTATTGTCACAGGACTTTCAGTCAAAACAATATCTTTAATTCCTGAAGCCAGTATTTCCCCAGAAATATTCCAAAAGTCTGTATTATTGTGTTATGCGGTTGATTTTGTGCTATTCATTTCTGATACTCCAGAGCCTATATCCTCCCACTGTTTCCTGTTCATGGTTGCATAACACAGTCTCACTTCTGCCAGGCTGAAGCTGTTATAGTGAATAGTTTGTTTTCTTCCTCACAGCGAAAAAACCCCACAAGAATTTCAATAGGGAATATGCATGTAGGAACCGGTTTGTCTTGGTTAAATATAAGGTGTAACCGTTGTCAATCACTCTCAGCTGGCTTTGGTGTGAAGCCAGTTTAAAGAGAGCCCCCTGCTGCAGCCGCATACAATCCCTGTGAGAAAAAGATGCACTGCAAAACCTTCACATTGTTTTTTGGCAACTGGGAATCCTTGCTGATAATCTGAGACATGGCATACACATTTTTATCATTTGTATGTATGTTCAATATAGCAGTTGACTTGACATAACTACACATCTATGAGATTATTTTGAAACTCCTTACATAAGAAAGGTCAAAACAGCGACCCTCAAATCTCATTGTTTGGGATTAAGATACAGTGGGGTTATACAAAAAACCTCCCGCCCTTTCTAACTCCAGCCAGGTGAAACATTAGCTCAGCAAGGTGAACGGTTGGGGCCCCACAGCTGGTGTAAACAGCAGGTGACCTAGTTGTCCCTGCTAACAGGTGGTGTCAGTGGCCAAATAAAGATTTCGTTGTTAATAAGCTCTTTAGTCTGCCATACATAGAAGTGTTTGCAAATAGACTCTGAAATAGGCTTAGAGAATTCCCCCATGTTGATACTGCTTTCCCATCTGCATTTGCTAATGTGAAATTAAGTTGTTTAATTTCACATCAGTCATGAATGTGACTGATCTCACGTGGCTGTGGAATCTCAGTGGGAGCTGATCTCTTGTCCTCTTCAACAAAGCTCCTGCAGTGTGATGGCGGCCATGTTTTTCAAGGCCTCTGCAGAAAAATGAACCTGTTGTTTGATACTCCTCTTTCTCAGAGCTTTTGTGAGATCCGGCTGGCTCCGGTCTCTGTTTTCCCAGTCAGAGGAGAATGTGTGTGTGTGTTTGTCCAGGGTGTGTTCTGCCAGACATCTCTACATCGACCATGTAACTTCGACGGTCACACTGCAGTCCTGTAGGTCAATGTTGATTTGTTATCTGATATGGCTGAATGGAAAACGAATCAGGAGAAACTGTATAAGTATGTAACCAAAAAACAGTCAGTCGTTAACAATTAAACAAAATCCTTACTAGAGGATAGGTTAACTCAAACAGTTCAGCAATAATCTAACAGACACATTCCAAAAAGGGAGCCAAAAGTGCTGATCACCACATCTTGTACTAGGAAAACTGGCATAATGGCACATGCTGCAAATCTCCTCAATCATTTATCTCCAGGCCATGTCACCTGGGAGGAGCGTTACCTGAAGGGACACCATCACAGTGTGAGAAAAGACACGCGCAGCAAAGCGCATACCACGAAGAGAAACGGAGAGCAAAACAAATAGAATGTGTCTGGAAAGGGCAAACATGGCAACCAAGCAGAAACCAAGACAAACAGAATACAAGGAGCCAGAACGCCAGGAGAGGGATGAAAAGAGGCCGGGATGTATTGATGGAAACCCGGGTGTCTGTTGTTTCCTGTGTGTGTGGGTCAGTGAAGGCCTTCAGCCGGGGGGAGAGAGAGGAGGGCCGGCCCTTGGCTCTCAGGAGACCCCGGTGCCCTGGACAAAGAGCCCTTTAACCGGCCGTTTGATTTGCATGCAGAGCTGCAGCCTGTTTTCTCCCCTCCAACACAGCATGATGACCCACAGCACAACCCCTCTGTACTTTCTTATGTTATTAAATGTGCATTTAACCGTCTCTTTCTGTTAGTCTACCCCAATCTTCTTTCTCTTTTGAAATATGCTACCAATCTTGAGAATACTTGTTAGGGAGGGACTGCTTTAGTTTCAGTTCTGTGAGTCGTCTGTCTTTTAAAAAGATTGTGATCGAAGATTAAAGCCACAGAGTGAGAGTTATTCAGAAATCTGATTTATTTGAACCCATTACTATATCATACTTCCCCTTGTCTGTGTGATACCAGTCTGCTTGGCTGTGTATCTTGTCTGCAAGGTTAAGATTGACTGCGTGTCTGGATAACTGTTTTGGGCGGTTCTAAGGTGTGGCACGTTATTTGGTCAGCATGTTAGCGCAGATCACAGCGCCAGTCTCTGCATGTCTCTGTGACTGTACACCTTTGTGGGTGTGAGTGTACGTGCATGTGATATGGTCTTTAGTAGCCTTTTTTGTGTTGCCTTTGTTAAATACAAAAAACACACCCACCCCAAAAGTTCAAGCAATCTGTCATTTGATTGTGTGCAAGTTAGACCAAGCCTTTTTCCCCACACACTGTCCTGTATAACCTGAAGCGTTTTCAATTTGGAAAAGCTCAGACAGAAGTTGAACCAGTCACTCACTAACTGCTCTTATCTCTCTGACGCCTATAGGCTCTGCAGCTCTTTGAAATGGATGACATCCAGGTTGTTGAGTCCAAACCTCTGCTGGTCGACAAGGAACTGCCGGTATGTATTCTGAACGGAGCCAAGAACAACAGTGATTCACAATACTTTTCAGAAAACTGATCATCAATATCACTCGGCCTTGAATGATTCATATCTGACGAGATCCTTGTTTGGGTCATTAGTACATCTGTTGCTTCATATGAGAATGCACATTTCCATGAATAGCATTGATGTGCACATTTTGAATCATTTACTCTATATGACTCCTTGAATTCCTGATAAAAAGCTGAGCCACTGAATTGTAAAAAACACATTTTGTTGCTTCATTATTATGATGTGGAGAAATAGCTGTAATTGTTTGTTTTTTTAAAGGAGAAATAGCTTATTATGCAATATTTGCAATAAACTGCAAACAGTGATATACACTGATCTTCTATGTGTGGAAGAGTTGTTTTGATCTATCAAGTGCAGAAGTTCATTAGGAAATAGAAATAAAGTCCATTGTTTTACAAATAGCCATTTATAATTGTGGACCTGGACGGACTCTGCAACATAATATTAAATATCACACTAACACATTAACATTTAAAGATAAAAACTAAGATATTGCTATCACATGCTGATGTTTTTGCTTCAAATAAGCCAACCATTGTCCAGTTCTGAAGGCAGTTTGCTAACCTTTGTTCATAATGTTGAAATTATACGTGGTGCCTCATAAGACAGAGGTCATATAGATGTGAAAATACATTCAGTGACAGGATGGCGCCCTCAGGATATTAGATTATAGCATGTTGCAATGTAATCGCATTAGTTTTGTATTTTCATTACTCTGTTCTTTCCTTGCAGGGCCTGAGAGAGGCTGTGCAGCATCTCGTTGTCAAGGTATGTTTGCAGACATAAGAAATAAGATCCAGCATTTATTCTTCCCACCGGTTGTTAACCCAGCTTTATTATTTAAAGCCTGTGTGGAAAGGGGATTCAAATTACTGGTTGTATGTACAGATGTTTTTTATACTATATCTTATAGATTTAGCTAGTTTGGTACCATCTAGTGGTGGATAAAATAAATAATCTGCCACACATCAACAGTTTTTGCCGTTGCTCATCCATCATGGTGCTGACCTTTCATCCACCGTTTGAAGTACATATTCTTTCACTTTCAAGGGTTAACTTGCCCTTAAAGCTTTCTGACTGACTTTGGTGTCACACTGACAGGTAGGCTGACCTAAGTATACAGATGAAGCGTTGGTAATGGTTTCAAACTGTCTGGTTTTGGATTATTTGATGGTGTTGATATTGTGGTATTGCCGCTGACCTCCATAGTAAATGCACGTACATGATCACATGATGTGTGCAGGATTATCTCGCCTATGTATAGAGGCTAGGCGAAGTTGTTGATGTTTACATGTAGTTTACGCCACCTAGGGCAGATCCCATGCAGTCAAAACTGGTTTGAAAATCACTAAGTAGGTCATACGTGCAGTGCTTGAACTACAGGTCTGGTCTTCATAGGGACAATTTTATTTTGGATTCATTTCGCACACAAACAGTTGGATATCCAAATTAGAATTTTTAAAATATTATGTAAAAGCATTTTTCTTCTATACCAACACTGACAAATTGACCAGTATATTTTCACGACAACAATATGTTTCAGACAGGAAGTTTCAATCAATAATGGATATCTAATTTTAGAAAATCATTAATCAAATAGAATAAACTTAAGTATAAACGGCATTCAAAGTTAGAGTTTCTTTTTATTGAGATGCATGTTATTGTGCTTCCGGTTATATAATGTCAGTCACTGGCTGTTTATGGGGTATTTTTTACAGTGATTAAAAGTCTCTGTTTTGCTCTTAGCCGCTGTCTCCCTCATTTGCTCAGCATGTTTTTCCCTCTCATCACACACCCATACATACATCATCCCGTCAACACTAGTCAATGCCCCTCTGTCTGACATTGGTTGATCCAATTTAGGGATCTCCATCTAGAGTTAGCTTGTTTTGACCAGCCTGCAAGGCACCATGGGAGGCAGGGAGCTTAGGCCAACAGTGGGGTATAAAACACCGCTCTAAGAGGAGGGCTAAACAACTTTACAGGCTTACTAACATTTGGAGCTATAGCTCGGGGAGCCACTGCGACTACACCTTTTTCAGTATCAAGCAGCGTTAACGTCCTCTCCTGTAAACATGGTTTTGGATGATTCGGATGTGGAAATGATTCTTGCTGAGAATGAAGTCAGCGTAAGTAGACAAAAGGCTTTATTGAAACATTTGCAGTTTCCAGTAACATGTGGGATTATACTCCATGCTAGAATTGTGGAACAGGGGGCCGCAATGAAAGAGAATCGTTTTTATTATTGCAGCTTATTATTATTATTTGTTGCAGTTTGTTTGGAGAGTAGTTTTAATAATTGAAAGAAAAAGCATTACATTTTAATGGCATTAAGATTATACAATTTAAGAAGGCAACAATGAAACATTTATTGTAAATATGTGGAAAATTGAATTGTTTTGTGCAATTTGCATTTAACATGCAATTTAATTACAAGGATAACCATGGTACAGGTATTTAGGTTTGCACCCATAATTGTTGGATATTGTGTTGTGGTGCCAAATACTTTCAATTTTTTTATTTTAAATCCAAATTCCTTGATATATTTACTTGGAATGTTGTTAAAAGTGTTTCATTCACAAATGTTATGCTAACTTTGGTTATTTATTTTGCATCCATAGGAGCACGATGTGGAGACTCCTTATGGAAGAGTCCGCTGTACGATGAAGGGCGTTCCCAAGGGTGAAAGACCAGTGATCCTCACCTTCCATGACATTGGACTGAACCGTAAGCCTGGCTTCTTATTCAGCTGGATCTACGTGAAACATATGTTGTTGTGCCTAAAGCCTCGGGGGTGTTTTGCATTACCAAACCATATGGGACCAGATTATGTTTAGCAACCTGACTCTATATTCTTAGTTGTTTATTGTAATTATTTTGTCACTGTTTTTGTCTCTTTGCTGCACACTCTTATTATATTTGTATAAATATTTCAATTTTATTTTCATTATTAAAAAAAAAAAGTATTTTATTTTATTTTATTGTTAAAAAAAGTATTCTGATTTAAAAAAACAAAAACGTTTTCATTACAGTATCTAAACTCTTCCAAACTAACCGCCATATTATTGTGATAGTGTCAAATATTGTTTATGATAAGGCTCTTGCATGTTATACACAGATGAACAAGTCTTACACTTATTCTCATGTTACTTGAGGTAATTCCTGGTTATCGGCCAAGTATCACTCATCCACCTCAACCTCCACCTCCTTTTCCTTGTACTGTTTCCCAGACAAAACCTGCTGGGACACGCTCTACAACCACGAAGACATGGCAGAGATCACGCAGCACTTCGCTGTGTGTCACGTGGACGCCCCCGGGCAGCATGAGGGAGCTAACACCTTTTCCACTGGGTGAGCGAGGGACACAGTCACAAAAACACACAAACACTTTATGTATGTCAAGTAGTGTGACCTCTGACTCTTCAGCTAGGTAGATCACTGCGGACGTGCTTAAGACGACCTAATTTGTTGAGTGTGTTGTAGTGACAGGTGTTTGTCTCGTTCAGCCTAATCTCTGCTTTACTGATGGGACTTTGCTTCATGTTAACTCCACCTGAGCTGAACATGATATGAAAACAGATGGGGAAACACAGATGGCTATTACAAACTGATATCAACAAAACAGAACAATAAACACAAGTGATTAGATAAAGGCTGTTAATAATTTCTTAACTATTAATTTTTAAATGTTGTTTTCCAGATATGAGTACCCATCCATGGACCAGGTCGCTGAGACACTCCCACTGGTGTTGAAGCACTTTGGGTAAGTTAAGCTCCAGTTTTCACACTGATTCTTTACCCTCATATTCAAGAGTTTTTCTAACCTGTTGTCCTAACAGTTCCCTGTTATGTTTGACGGCAGGCTGAAGAGTGTTGTTGGAATGGGCGTTGGAGCGGGGGCCTACATTCTGACCAGATTTGCTGTAAGTCCCCCCCTTTCCCTCTCAGTCAGGTTTAATAATTATTAAATTAATCATTTCAGGATTAACAGAGCCAGTTAATGTTTTTCTACTACTTGCTGATTCTGGCACCGTAACACTGCCTATTGCTCGAGCCTGTTGAACCATAAAAGCCTCAAGAATGTTCCAGATCAGTTCAACACCAACACAGTGCTCAGTAGGAAGTCTCACTCTGTTGACACAAAGCTGACTAAGATACAACTTTTAACTCCTTGCTGCAGCCTCCTCTACCTAAATCAAATGTGCATCACTTTTTTAAAGCATTGACTTATTTAAACATTTGAATTGAACAGACATTCACTTTAAAATCATGGAGTAAGATCTGATGCAACCATGTAAACATGTTATCCTAAAATAAATTGGCAGAAAATGCTGTTTTCAGTCTGCATCAAACTGAATATCATTGGATTTTGGCCTGACAAACTTTTTTAAAGACCCCACCTTGGCCCTTTTATAACACAGAAATAACACATAGTAATCCAAACCATGCCCTGAAGAGGGTAAGGTAAGGTAAAGTAAGTTTATTTATATAGCACATTTTCAGACACATAGGCAATTCAAAGTGCATCATCATTAACACTTAATAAGAAGACAACAGGGTAACACATATTAAGATTTTTTTAAATACCACAAAACATTGGCAGCCTGATCCCAGAGCCCCCAGTTTTGCTTTACCTATGTATTAAGCTTAATGCAGGATTGTGGTTATTAATCATTACTGTTACTTTGTATTATAGCTGGACTACCCAAACATGGTAGAGGGGCTGATGCTCATCAACATCAACCCAAGTGCTGAGGGATGGATGGACTGGGCAGCACACAAGGTAACAGACATGAAGAACAGTTTAAATCACTATCTGAATCAACTCCAGAGGCTAACTTGAAACCCTTACACAGTACGTTAGCTAAATAGTTTTTATGTCTAAACTCAGATCAGTGGATGGACCCATGCCACGCCTGACGCGATTATCGGACACCTCTTTGGAAAGGTACAGATTTAAGTTATCTTCTGTTGCGAGGTATATTTTTACTAACCAGCTTTTTCTAGGTTTGCAGTCCTCAGTGAGTCTAACAGCTTTTGTGTGTTTTGTTTTTACCTCAGGAGGAGATCCACAACAACCACGACTTGATCGGAACGTACCGCCACCACATCATGCACGACATGAACCAGTTCAACCTGCATCTCTTTGTCAAGTCCTACGAAAGGTATAGAAAAACACAAAAAGTCAGCTTAACCTACTAAAGTTCATCCTTAGATTCAACATGTTCTATAACCTATGTCTGTCTCTGCAGCCGGAGGGATCTGGAAATTGAGAGGCCGATGCCTGGAATCAAAGTCGTAACCCTCAAGTAAGTTATCAAGCATCAATCCGTAATATCACCTGCTGCTTAAATTTAAAATGTAATATTTCCCCAATGCTTATTTGTAATTGCATGTTTCTTCCTTATCCAGGTGCCACTCACTGCTGGTTGTTGGCGACAGCTCTCCTGCCGTGGAAGCTGTGGTGAGTTGAGCAATCTTTTGCTAAATTAAAAACAAGGCTCCAGTGCTAATGATTAGACGAGTTACCACCGGGAAAACAACAAAACATGTTTTCCATTAACTGCAGTCACATGTGAAAACCAAAGAGATATGCAAGATTGCATTGTTAAGGAAACTAGTTTACCATGACTGTCTGAGGCAAGAGCAAAGTTGGGAAGAGAAACAAAGTGACACAGAGTAGTTTTAATCTGTTAAAAGTTTGAGATTGGTAATTAATGTTTTATTTCACATTGTTTTTGCATAGCAATGTATTCATTAAACGTACACATGTGATCCTTAATAACATAAGATGCATACGTGAACTTACCCTCTTTTATTTGTGCCTTTTTAGGTTGAGTGCAATACCAAGCTGGACCCAACAAAGACCACCCTGCTGAAGGTAAACAGGCCTGTTAATCTCCCTCCACCTCCCCTCCCTCAGCTTCATTCAGGTCTTAATAGCCTTGGTGGAAATGTTTCGGCTGATAAGATTCCATGGGCTCAGCATTTATCTGGTGACATATTAACCAGGGCTAGGAAAGCTGAAGAGGGGACGTGCGATTGCATATCGCCTCCGACGACGCAATCTGCTGCAGCTGACCTACTTGTGTTGGCCCATGGCAACCTTTTAATGATCTACAATCGAAACCAAATGGCTGTTGGAGCTAAAATGGGCACTATTTATTGGGGTTAACTGTTCAGGGTCTATAGGTAGCAGGGAAAAGGTGTGTTGAACAGGGGACTGTTGAGTGTAATGAGGGTTAATGGTGTGTGTCCACTGCTGTGGGAATGTACGAGCGCCAAAATGCTAAATGCTAATTCCTTTGTGTTTTCCCTTCAGATGTCTGACTGCGGAGGCATGCCCCAGATTGACCAGGTGGGTTTTTGTGTAACAGAGAAAAGCTTTGTGAAACATGTTGATTTTGCTGAGCACAGGGTCGGATAATGGAGTGTCAGGTGGACGGGTGGATGACATAAGGAGGATGCACTTAAGAGCTTTAGCAAGTGGCAGATATGAAGCACAGGTTGTAATCCTGTGTAGCACCTGCTCACCGCAGCTGTCATATCTCCGAGCCTGAGCAGTAAGCTGCTGGATGAGAGATTGAGGGTGTCAATGTTATGAAAACAAGTGTGGTAATTAATGACAAGAGGACTAATTATCTCCCTACTTGTGCTTTTTCTCTCTGCAGCCTGCCAAACTGACAGAGGCTTTCAAGTACTTCATTCAGGGCATGGGATACAGTAAGTAATCAAGACATCACTCACTCACAATGACCCATATACTCAACTTAGTCTTGGATAGATAAAGAAGTATAAGTAAGAATTGTGCATTTAAAACTAAAGTGTCTAAAGAGTTAAAGAAAAACATGTGGCTATATCACTATAATTCACTTAAAATATGGACGTATAAATGACCACTATCCCCTGATTGGATATTCATTTAATTTCAGATACACATTTAAAGAGCATCTCAAATTTGGAATTAGTCGAAATGAAACTATTTCTAGCTGTTTGGTAGTTCATTTACTGTTTAACTATATATTGTATTTTGTACGCTAATTATAGGCCTTTAAAATCTTAATCTGCATAGTAACTATAGCATTCAAATGTATGTAGTGGAGTTAAATGAACCACATTTTCCTTTCAAACCATGAAATGAATAGAAGAAGTAGAAGTACCTCAAAAATGTTCTTGACTGTGCATTTTGTTAATCTCCCGCCTCCTCTTTCCTCAGTGCCCGCTGCCAGCATGACCCGCCTGGTCCGCTCCCGCACCGCCTCCGGCTCCAGCGTCACCTCCTTCGAGGGAAACCGCTCCCGCTCCCACACCCATGAGGGGAATCGCTCCCGCTCACACACCAACGAGGGAAACCGCGGCCACAGCCACCTGGCCAACAGCAACGTGGACCAAGCTGTGCCCAAGTCCACCGAAGTGTCCTGCTAAGTGAACCATCGCTCTCCAGGCACCGAGACCTCTCAAGGTCCCTTCGGTTTGTGCTGCGCTGCCTCTAACTGACACACACACATTCCTACGCACTTGCACACCCGTGGAGAGGGCAGTAAGATAGCATGTGTTTTTGTAAAAAAGCACAGTGGACACTCACCTGCCGATTGTTCAGTGCAGGTGAGATGCCCCAATTTGAAAATAGAATGTCTTTTAAGTGAGAGTTCAGGGTCAACAGTAAGTCTGTTCTCAAACTCTGAGGGACTCAATTATTTTTTTTAAATAAATACTTCTGATCTCCTTGGTCAGATGAGTTTAAAGTTGGGGGCAGCGCAGCATTTTGGGACACCGAAGCAGAGAATGTGGAAGAAAGCTGTGGCTACTAGTACACCAGCTTGTACATTTATCCCTCATAACCCCGCATATATAAAAAAAAAAAATGTTTTAATTCCATTTTCTGCATTCTTGTATCCCGTTTTTATCCATTTCTACCATATTGACACCGCTTTCTCAAATATACCTGACTGTAAATGACTGTTTTCTGTTCTCACTGTAATTGTTTTGATCATTTATTCTTTTTTTTCTATGTCTGAAGAGTTGTTGTTTGTATGTAGGAGCAGATTTGTAGAAGTCGAGAGAGAATTGGAGGCACTTGGATAAATACAAATGGCTGTTTGCCTCACAACATTTCCATGTCATTTTGAAAAAGAAGGGACAGACTTCTAGTATATACAGCTAATTATATTGTTTCATGCCAGTATCCATTATCCTTGAGTTATTTTAACATCTGTTCATTGGTGGAATCAAACTATCATTTTTATTACATTCCAATGAGGCTGTATGCTTTGTCGTGAATCAAAACACTCAAACACAAAATTCAAACTGTTTTACATTGTATGCTTTATTAATGGATCATGGCTTAAGACAACAAGGTTATTTTTTAGTTTTTTATGATGATTTATATGCAATCAAGCACAATGGAACAAAGATGTGCCATGGATTTGTTCTTTTTTTAGACGTGATGCTCCTATGTGGTTGTGGATTTTTGGGTGAGTGAAGTGATAGGTCCACATGTTAACATGAGGATAACCATAGATCTTACCTAACACCTTCTACTCCTGTATTTTACTTGCACTACAGCTACATGTTGCTTTGTAGAACAGAAACACAGCTTTGTAAAGATGCAATGCACAACTGTCTAATGCTGTAGAGAAGCATTAAAATTACATAACAGTTTGTATTTATTAAAAAAATGACAATAAAAAACTTGTAACTGAACTTCCCTGATCTTTTCATTTTGCATTGGCTTTATCTTTGGCATATCAGTCCATATCTGTCTTTTAAACAAGTATTATATCGTACATTTCTTGAAATATAAAAGAAAATATATACAGTTACGCCTTATTATCTAAGTGTACATGTGCGTTTTAAGACAGACAATGTGTACTGCTCTTGAAAGCATCTCAAGAACATAGCATATGTTATGGCATATGCAAAAAGCAACATAAATAAATTAAGCATTCAATATTTCACACATCCACTGTCTGAATGTTTTCATTTGCAAAGCACTTCTTCAAATATTCTTCTAAAGCCCCTTATGCTTTATGAATCCAATCTGGAGACAGGTATATATATTTCATATTTACAGATTTTTCCAATAGGAAAAAAGAAAAACCGTAAGAAAATCCCTTGCATATAATCCATCTGAATACAAAAACACTGCATAAGAAAAAGAAGCCAGAAAAATTGAGAGAGGCAGGGTGCGCTGTTAGTTCATGACTTCTGGCTGACTGTAGTAATTCTCCAGCTCGGCGAAGATGTCGTTGGGGTTTTTGCAGCTGAGGTTGCAGAAGCAGGCCTGAATCCACAGCATCTTCCAGGTGAATCCCGTCCCGTTAGGACACTCAAACTCCACCTCGATGGTTTTGGACTTGTAGGGGATGCAGCAGCGCTCGTCTGTGCAGACGCCGCAGTATTTGGGTCTGTACAGCTTCCTGCTGGTGCAGCCGGAGATAGTGAGGTTGGAGGGCAGCTCTTCCCTGTAGATGTTCAGACATTTCTTCCCCGGCTGATGGAGGAAGTAGAAAGTAGAAAGATATTTTTTACAACCCGTTCTTCTCTTGCAAATCATCATTTTGACGGCTTAATATATTAAGCAGAATTGATACCTTGATGTGTTTGGTGATGTCGACCGCACAGGGCCGCAGGTTGCAAAGGCGAGCCTCTTTGACCAGCTCACACTGCTCGTTGGCGTTAGAGACCCTCAGGGACAGGCCGCGGTCGCACGACTTAGAGCAGGGGCTCCATGAGGTAGTCTGGGTAATGCAGTTCTTGTGCCAGCTCCTGGTCTCAGCTGGGGCAGCTGTATCAGCAACAAAAAGTGAGAAAAATTGATTAATTATTTTAAAAAACTGCTACAGTAAACATTTGCTACACATTTAAATGTATGTTTTCTATTTGAATAATGTTAAGCTTGTATTATTTTACAAAGAGAAGCACATGGATATTACACAGTCTCTGTTTTAATCCAAACAGTTACATTTGTGTTTCTCTTGTAATCTGGATCTGAAATGTATCCTTATGCAACACAAAGAGATCTTGTTCACATTGATCCCTCCTCAGCACTGCTGCAATAAATCGCTGGAAACTGGACATGACCCAAAAACAGTGTGAGGGCTTCCACAGGAAAGGTTTGGTTTGTCCCTGCACACCGTGTACACACACAAACCTTGTGATCCTCCTGGACTCACATAACTACAGATGTTTGTACTACCAATTCAAACACAGCTGCCCCTACTTTCCAAATCCAATTGTATCCATTTGCTATTGGAAAACTGTATAAATGATTTCTTCTACAAATATGTTCTTGTAAATTAGCAATAATCCTTTAGCAGAATTATCCAAACAGACATATGACATCAATAAGAGGCCATATGCGTTGTTTATTAAAATACTTTGCATTCCCTAGCCACCTCCAACCTTTTCTATAACATTATCCTCAAGATCAAATCCTTTTTTCCCTAGCATTACCTCGTTTTTGTGATCTCTCTGAGCATTCCAATTAATCTACTCGACATGAGAAGGAAATTCAGTTATGAGGAAAAAGTTTGCAAGTTAAAGTCCATCTTCATAAAGCAATAGAATACATTTCCTACCCTCTATTGCGTGTCGCAGCGCCGTCTTGCGTCCTCTTTTGGGTTCATCACAAATCCACTGCTCACAGCATTCCCCCCGAACTTTAACCCGCCGTGGGGTTTGGCACCAGACCCTCGGAGGCTGGGACTCCGTGCACAGCCCCACACAGCCGATGGCCCCGTTCACACACACACACTGGTATTTACAGCTGGGCCTGAAGCTCTGCCCGTTACGGTAGATCACGCCATCATGCTCACAGCCTGTTCCCCCCATATCTGACAGGGAATAAAGACAAGCAGTCACATATTATAGGCATGCAAACAAACTGCAAACAAAACTAAGTTAATGTCATTGTATTTCAAATACACATAATTAGGAATAAACATATTTCTAGAGGCAAAAATGTTTGACAATGTAGAATAAATTACTTTGTGTTGCAGGCTGATATCAACCGATTGCCTTGTTGTGACTGACACTGGGAATTATCTATTCTACTACATTTAGCAAGCTACTTATTGTAAAGAAAAAATGTGTAAAATATGAAACACATGTCGTTTCTAAAAAAGATTAAGGCATATTTTTGGCTAAGGATAGAGTCAAGTCTCTGGCAGTTGACATTTGACAAGGATATTATTAAAAGTAAATGTTTTTTTTATGTACGTCCATGAGTTGGATATATTTCTCTGTGCAACCAGACCAAAACATATGAAAGTCTTTTCTAAATTTGGAAGAATTTCAGTATGATTTATATCAGATTTTTGGACATGCAACAGCTGTCATTGTGTTTGAAGTGATTTACTATAGCATCAAACTGAGATATGCACATACATATATGCTGTAAAAATGCAACTACTACTGAAATAACAAATAATAATAAGATGAAATGAACAATTGTCTTGCATGCTACTGAATCAGTATTCTGGTCAAGTGACACCTGGGTTGTTGCTATGACAACAGATGTAGATATGGCAGCAAACACCTGCTCTACAGAAACACAATCTGGTCCGTGCTGTGGCTTGCACAGGGAATCTTAAATACATCAGAAAATGAACCTGCTGTGTAAAGTCTGTTGTTTGTCGGTTTTGCTGAGTGACACTTACATGCACACACTCCTTTTTCGTACCTAGGCTTGTCCGAGCTGTAGTCACAGTACAGTCCCTTGTGGTAGTCGCACGTGTCCGCATCGTTGCACACCTCCCCCACCTGCAGGGCGCAGGCCTTGCAGCAGTCACAGCCGTCCATGAGGAGGCTCACGCCCCGCGGACAGGTGGGTGGGGCCTTGGGGCACGCGCAGGGCCACTTGCAGTACTCGGTGCGGTTGTACGTGTCCACAGCTGCCGAGGTGACGGCAGGCGGCATGGCCGTGGAATTCTGGGAGTAGGCCTGGAAAGAGGAGAGTGGATCATTTAGGGACAGGTTAAAGAACAACTTTCTTTAAGATAAATGCAATTTTACCGTCCAGTTTCACTTAAACATTATGTTTTTAATTCAGAGTATGACCAATTGCCTTCACATTATGAAATCAATTTGCCTCTCATTAGTGAACATTCAAAGGAAGTTTTAGCTTTGGTCACACAAAGTAATAGGCTTGAGCGGCTACACTTTCTCTGTTTGTGCATCATCAAAACAACTTTTTTTTACATAAAGTTATATGACCACATGTGGTTAGGCAATATTGTTTAATATTTTTAATCCTGATTTATTAAAAGACATTGCTGTTTTGAGTAAGGTTGGCTTGGGAAGTAGCTGCTCCTAAGGCTCTCAAACACATAAGGTGGTGAACCATATGACAGCCTTCCTACGTCTGTTTCATGATGAGAATAAATCAATTAAGCCTATTAAAATGAATTAAACCCTCAGTGGATATAATCGTATTAAATCAATGGCATAGTCTCGTCTTGTACGTACTTAGCACTCTGCAAGTGTTCCATCATCGTATTTAGAATCTGCAACTGTGCTGAGCAGTAACAAAACCCTGCCAATGAAACTCAATCAAAGCCCCCCCCCCACAGTGTGTTTTCACTCTTACAAGCTGCTGTGTTAAGCCAAGATCACACAGTTAACAGCTCTGCAGCTTTTAAAAGCAGATGTTCTCACTGAAACGGGCCACATGAGCCCCGTTAACATGGAGTTAGCATCGGACAGAGAGTCTCAGCAGAGGACGCCTGTCTTCGGTCATTTAAAATGTGTTATTCTGACAACATATTCAATGTTTTACAGGCCAAATGTAGTTCTGCTTGTTTTGAGAACATGGTGTGCTTGAGAAAAAAGCCAGCAGATCATAATGTAGTGAGTGAGAGAGACACTGAGATTTGTTTTGTAAAAAGTTGACACAAGTAAACATAATTTAAGCTCATACGAAAGTTGTTGGGCAATAATGCAGAGGCTCTCAATTTGCATTTAACTCACATGAAGCGATATTCGCAGTGTTAATGACTAAGACACACTCGAGTTGTAGGTGACACCATGTTTATTATTATTGCCACAATGGACTAATCAGGGAGGCAAACACTACATTAGAGGTCCAATATTGTCTGCATTCTCATAAATCATAATTTATTCCATTTACTCAGAGCACTGCACCAGTAAAGAGCCACTGAACCATTAAAAAGACACGCCTGTAAAACAAGACACACATAGGTGCATGCACACTTTATATGCAATTAACTGCAAGGAAACACGCTTAATCATCTAGTGCAGGCCGAACCATATGTCATATCCCTGAGCTTGTTTTGTGCACTTCAAAGGTATTATTGTCATTAATAACTGCTGTGCATAGTGTTCAAAGCTAATGCATTTATTGTAATTGTAGTAATGTGTTTTTATTACATGTACAGCACTTTGGCTCGACCAAAAATCGCTTTTAAATGTGCTTTATAAATAAAACTTGATTTGATTTGATTTGAATGCAGATACATGAGTTTTGATCACAGCAGTGCCACCGAGCCCTTCCTCAGAAGAGTTATTTAGCAGGCTTATTCAGAGAGGAGGGCAGAACAAACTAAACACATCTCAGAAGCTGTCCATCACTCTAATAAGACAGGAGAGAATAGAGAGGTGGGTGTTTGCTAAGTTCATTATCAAAACATGGGGAAAGCCTAATGTAATCTTCTACCAATATCATTTTTCTTAACTAGGTTAAG